AGAAACAGCAAGCCTGTAAAGCACAGAGGGTGAGCGGCAGGCTTTTTGTTTGTTTGTTTGCTTTTTAAATGCAGCACTTCTTGCTATTTATACGGTGCAATTTACAATGACTTGCAATACTGAGTGTAAGAGCACATTTGCTGAACGCCAGTACCAGAGAGGAACCTGCAGCTGCTCTCTGAAAACAACTGCACAGACAGGCGAAGCAATCCAACACCTCTCCCATTCCAGCAGGCAGAAACACGGTGCTAACAGCCCAGACACAGGAGAACACACTGTGACTGAGGCTCCAGCACTGCTGTGGGATCTCTCAGCACCCCATTGCCTCACCTGGTACCTGCTGAGCTGCTGCTGAATGCTTCTCATGGCAATTACTACCAGTGTATGGCTCCTGCTGCAGGTGGGTGCCTCCTATCCCCAGCATTCCTGATGCACAGCACTGTAGGAGGCCGCCTGGGAAGAGCTCTGCTCCCACCCATGGAAGTGCTGCAGCAGAGCAGCACCATGGGGTGGCTCAGAGGGCAGGGTGAGCAGCCCCATGGTGGATACAGCTGCATACCGCAGCTCTGCCCGTCTTAGTGGTATGAAAAACCCCAACTGGGTGAATGCATGGGCATAAGAGCACTTCAGGTCATGGCAAGCCTTGTCCTAACACGCCTCTGCTTTCCAAGCTGCCCAAGCAACCTTCCCAAGCCAGAGGTGGTGACCTTGAAACACCCATTTGCTCATTCCAAGAAGGCCTGCCCTACCATCTGTACAATTACTGCAATCGAAAGACGTGTCACCGAGAGCACCTTGAGCAGCCCAGCAAATCCAAGGCTTTCTTGCAAATAACCTGAAACAAATCACAACAACAATCACAAACAGCCACAATATAAAAACACAGTGTTACAGATGAGAAGCTCTAAGACAGCCAACCTTCACGCCTTGGATGTGCACTTAGTGCTCAGCACAGCGAGCTGCCCCTGCTGATGTGCCAGGCCAGCAGGCATCACCAGCCAGCTGCATGGACAGTGTCTGTGTCCCTTACATGCTGTGCATCTTTGCCTCCCATCAGCTCTCTCCATGCCTCTGAAGATGGAACATCTACAGTTTACAGTACAAAAGTCATGGAAATAAACTACCTCCTCCAAGCATCATTCCAAACAGCACGAGTCACGCTCCTTAACCATATAGTTACAGACCGACTGACACCGGAGAGCATTGTGCAATCTGTTTTTAAGTAAAAATACCCAGTTCAGCGTAGGGAAGCACAGAGCAAACGGAAAACCAATTACACATGAATTATTCCTCTGCAGAAAACTTCTGCGCTAATATTTATTCTCTCTGAGATTCGCATTAAACTTTGAAGTTTCTTAAAGGAAGAGCCTTCACAGAGAGGAGCAGTGATTTGCTGGGCATCCCCACCAGCCCAAAGGTTTCTCTGCAGCCAACAGGAGGAAGAGAGAAAGGACAAATCTGCCCAGGGAAAAAAAACAGCCAGAAAACCAATAACCACACCAGGACGCTTCCAGCTCCAGAGCTGTAAGATGTTCAAGTGTTTCCATTATTTCAGAAGGGCCTGTTTTGGAATTTACTGGCCGGTAATGGGGAGGATTATATATTTCCCCTTTTTAAGCTGCTCTTCTTCTTGCTGTGTTGAAAACCACAGCCATGAAAACCACCAGACAGGGCACTGATGGACCAAGAAGCAAAGTAACAACTCTGCCTGACAGCCTGTTTGGCAGCCGAGGAGACAGCAAGAGCATCAGCGACGCGTGCAGAAACTTCTCTCAGGAGCCAACAGCTCTGAAGTCAACACAGAAGGACGTCTGAATTTGATCACACTCATAGCAAACCAGTGCCTTCTAAATGAATATGAAGGTTTTTTTTGACAGGAAGAGCCTTGGAGCTGGATGACTGCACCTCCATATGCACACACAGCATTCCATGCCATATCCCACCTGGCTCCTGGGATGAGCTCGGTACGGTGGCCTGATAAATACAGGCATCCATTCAGCTAAGGCTCAGAACCACACCTGTTAAAAGGATTTATGGAAACGTTTAAAGTATAGCCATGAATCTCTCACTGAGTGCGCTGCTCCTATACAGCCTCTGTCAAGTACTGCAGCAACCCAGATCTGCCCGAGCACTGAGGAGTTAGCCTTTATCTGCCAAATGCTTGTCACTGTATTTCCTATAATAGCAGCAGCTTTTTAAAGGAAGGATGTCACCCTTTAGCACCATGCTGACCTGCTGCCTCAGACAAGGTGTTACCAAAACAAGCACTGCAGAAGCCCACAGTGTGAGGCCTGGCATCACTTTTATCTGTTTGTTTGCTGTGATTCCAAGAGCCTCACTACGTGCACCTCCTGAAATCAACAGCGACGGCAGCAGGATGGCTTTTCTTACACTGTTACTGCTACTGTAACTGATGCAAAAGCACTCCTGCTAAGGCCCACACAAGATGGGCACTGTGCATTTCTACGTATCTGCATGCCTGGCACCACGATCTGCCATCCCAGTACCACTGCTCACAGAATGGTTTGGGTTGGAAGGGACCTTTAAGATCACCCAGTTCCACCCCCTGCTGTAGGCAGGGACATCTCTCTAGCCCAGGCTGCTCACAGCCCCATCCAGCCTGGCCTTGAGCTCATCCAGTGACATCCACAGCCTCACTGGGCAACCTGTTCCAGTGTCCCACTGCCCTCACAGCAAAGAATTTCTTCCTAATATCTACTCTGAATCTACCCTCTTCCAGTTTAAACACCCACAGCAGTCGCCCCTATCCACACCTCTCAGCCATCGGGCAATCTCAAATCTGCTCAGTCCACTTGCAGAGATATGGGGAAAGAGATTGCTTCAGTGACTCAGCCACTAATCTTCAGCAAAAGGCAGAGTGACATTTTTCTCACACGGCCCATAATCTCTGCTTATGACTTGGAGAAACCAAAAGGAAACACGCAGGCTACCATGCTAAACCACAATTTATTGGAACAGCAGCTTGAGGTGTGGGACAACTGATTGGCACTGCTAGCACGTAAAACCAAGCACTCTGTCCTTGTCACTGACACTTCACAAACAGCAAAGCTCTCGCCTCCTTCTCCACTGTAACAGACAACGAGCAAAGCCTGGTTCCGCTTCACAGCCTGTATTTTTCCACTCTAAACTTCAAATGATGGTAACAGCAACCCCACGTTGTTGTGCTGCTACCATATGAAACAGCAGAATGTAAATTCCAGTGCTGTGCCAGCCCCGTGGGGACATGCATCTCCCCCTGCCATGTTACCTGATGGGGCTGTGGGGTGAATGTGGCCACACTGACAGTTCCTGGCTGCTGCTGTCAGCCATGAGATGCCACACGTGGCTTGCAGTCAACTCAACATTATTTCTTCAAACTTCATTTTAACTAATAAAGCAGCCCTTGGCTTACTGTTTACCGCTGTTGTATTGTAAGTAGGTTAAAAACACCTGGATCTACCACACCGACGGCAGCGTGATAACAGCCTTGTTTCCAGTTTCCCCGGTCAAGCATTCTCTTTGCCACCTCTTTCCACACCACACATCTTCGTGACGTCCATGGCAGCTCACACCTCCACACCGCACGTGGGGCTGTGACCCCGGCTGCAGTGCCGGGATGCAGGGATGGGAGGGCAGGTGGCAACAGCCAGAGGAAACCTCTGGGCCATCCCAGCAGCCCCGGGCTGCCGATCCCAGGCCTGGGGAGAGGCAGGTCTGACAGGCACACGCTGTAAAAGGGAAACGACTGCCGGGGTGAAGCCGGAGGAGCAAGAAAGCAACGACCACGAGGAGGAAAACCGTCGTTCCGCTCTGACCGCAGGGAAAAGGGACGCTCAACAGGAAAAAGGAAAAGGAAAGGAGAGAGCCGGGAGCGTTAACCCAGGCACAAGGCAGGGGAGGCATGCTCCAACTCGTTCGTCCGCCACACGTCTTTTCGCACCCGGGCTGCCCCGGACGGCCGCAGACGCCGAGCGGCGCCCGCCGGTTCGTGGTTCCGGCGCGGGGCAGAGGAGCGCAGCCGGGCGCCGTCCGCACGCAGGGCGCCGCAGCCGAACAAAGGCACCGCCCGGACGCAACTTCGCTCCGAGAGCGGGGCGCACCGCCGGCTGCCGCCTCCCGCCCCGCGCCGCTCTCCGCCCGCGGACGGAGCGCCTCGGCCGCCGCCGCCGCCGCTCGCCCGCACCTCCCGCCTCCCCCCGCGCGGCCGCGTTCGGGGCCCCGCCGAGGAAACCCGACCCCGGCGGCGCCCCCCGCCCGAGGGTCGGCCCCCGCGCCTCACCTGACGGGGACTCCCGGCCCCGCGGCGCGCTCCCGGGTGCGGCGGCTGCGCGGAGGCTCGCTGAGGGCGGCCGGCCGCCGGGCCGCGCTGCGCCGAGTCCCGGGACGGGTTGCGAGCGCCGCGCCCGCGCGCACCACCAACTCCGGCCGCCGCCGGCCGCGGCACGGCCCCGCCCCCTCGCGCACGGAGGGCGGTGCGTCCCCGCCCGCCGCGGCAGCCCATTGGCTAGGGAGGGGCGAGGGGGCGGGGCGCGGCCGCGGGAGCGCTCCGGTCCCGCCGCGGGGGAAGACTACACGTCCCGGCATGCACCGCGCGTGGTCCCGGCTTCACAGCCGAGCGACGCCGCGCGAAAGGTAACGGTGTTCTTCCGCTCGCGCGAAAAAAGTAGTCCCGGTGTGTAGTTCGGCCTCCCGCTCCGAGGCGGCGGAAAGGGGAAGGAAAGGGCGAGAAAGCGCTGCTGAGGTCGGCCCGCGTGCTTCCAGCCCGGGCTCTCCTTGGGGTTTCTCCGGGCAGCGCCGCGGTGAGGGGCGGAGAGATCCGCGCGGGTGGAGGCGCGGTGATGCGGCTCTGTGAGGGACGCGGCGGCGGCGGCGCGGGGCGGAGGGGACGCGCAGTGCCGGGCCGAGCCCCGCAGGTCAGTGCGGCGGGCCGTGGGGCTGCTCGGCTCTCTCACCGCCCGGGGCGGCCCGGAGCGCGGCGCCGAGCTGGGGGCGGCGTGCTGGGACTGGCCCGCCCGGCCCGCCCGCGGCTTCGGGCCTGCGGAGCGCTGTGGAGCGTGGGGCTGAGCGCTCGGCGCGTGTCTGCTTCGTCCTCGTCGCCTTCGTCCTGTCGGCGATAAAAGGCGGCGGTTCCCCGCGGCTCCTCCGCTCTCCGTTGCCGTTACTTTGTTACGTCCCCTCAGTAGTACCTCAAGGAGCCCTCCTGCCCTTCAGCTCGCTCAAAATAGAGAAACTGCGGCGTGTGACTGAGCCCCGCTGTTCCCCGTGTTAATTTAATCTTTTCATTCTTCCTGCTTGCGGTGAGGTGCGTAGGGAGCAACCCGACAGGTGTCCGTCCGTTCTGTGAGAACAGAGCGAGCCCCGTTCCCAGAGCAATGCTTTAGCCACAGAGAGGGGTTCAGTCTGTATGTCACTGTCAGAAGGTGACTAAACACAAACCGCGGTGCTTTGCAGTTTCTAAACGTCTTTCATCTTCTGTTCCTGCAGGACACGTTCCCTCAGCAGGCGCGGGCTGCGTCTGATGGCAAGGGCTGCCCAGATTGCTGAGGTGTGCTGAGCTGCCCCGTGCTCAAGGACTGAGTGGAAGCAGTGAGGGTGAGCTGAGCTGTTGCTCCGTACCCACCTGGCGGAGTTACTCCTTCTTTCCCACTGTAAGCTGATGCAAGTTGCTGAACTCTCTCTGCCCGTCCTGTTCCTCCCCAGGCTGTGGCTGGAGGGTCTTTACTCCCCCCACCTGAAGCATGCTTGGAACCGTGCTGGTTTTTGTAGCATTCAGATGTATATTGTAGGGTACACTAAAACAGCACGGGTGGAAGAAGCTGTGCTTACAGCCATGGAGACACTCCTGTGATCATCACCTCTGAAAGGAAGGGTAACACAAGTGAACACCAGTGTGTGTGTTTGAGTAGGTGAATTAAGTTTTTTCCTTTGGGTTAGTGCTTGTACCCTAATAAAATGCCCTTTCAATTTCCAGTTGGATTGGCTTTGGAGATCTTCCAGAACTAGTTCCTTTAAGCTTTTTTTGTTTTACTTCCATGATTTCCTCTAGAAGCAGAAGGGTTTTATTTCCTGTGTTGCTGGAAACCATTATGCTTTTTAAGAGTTGACTAGTGGTTGATAAAAACACTGTGGCTCTAGGTGCTTGCTTGGTATGAATTTTCTAAGAACAATTTGTTTTCAAAAATGTCTTTTTTCTTTAATTTTTAAAGCCAGTGGAGTTGTGAAAGCAGTGAAGGCTGTCTGGTAACTCTGTACTGGTTTTTGAGGGCAAAGCAACTGGAACTTATTTATATGTTGTCATGTATAGTCAGTGTTGCTACCTGTGAGATAGGTTTGGTGGTGAGAAACTGCAAGCAGACCTGCCCTGTACCAATCCCTCCTGTGATGATGTGATTGTTGGGGTGTGCCTGTCTGTTAATGGTCTTTTTTAAGGATTAATATGCGTATCTGAAAAGAGTGGCTTGCAGTGTTAATACCCAACTTATAGGGACGACCCTGAGGTTGGGTGTTCTGTTTCTGAAGGAGAAATGAAATATTTGATACCAACAACTTCTGGGTAACTGCGGTTGCATCTGGAGTGGTGTGGCTTTGTGCGAAGCCTTCACTCAGACTATGAGATGGGAGCAGTTGGGGGTTAGGAGAAGGCAAATGGAGCTGAATAACTGAATGCTGAGTTCTGGATGTTATTAGGAAATCTTCATTACTCCTTGACCTTACTTCCCTGAACGCTGATGCACTTTAAACAGAGCTTGTCTTTCACAAATGATGGTAAGAACATTCCTATTAAAGAAACTTAATCAGGAAAAATGTTAAATGGAAGCAGCATTGTCTTCAAAAAGGCTTATTAAAGATTTTAATCACAGAAACAGATGATTCTGCTCTCCTTTGCAGGAGGCTATGGCAATAGCTGACTTTGGCTGAGCAATTTCAGGATTTTCAGCCCAGCAGTCTGCGTGGCTTAGAATAAAAAACAAAAAGAAATGTTATACTTCACTGTTTCTGAGATTCTTGTGGGTTGGGTTGTTTTTCAGTACATGGGAAGCTGAGACTTGGGGATGTTCCGTTATGAAGGCTGTGGTGAGCAGTGAGGTGGACAGCTGACACCCTTGTCCTGTAGTTCACAAATTGCTATTGCATGAAAATTAGAGGAATTGCTCCAGTGAAAAGGCTGAGTGACGTGAAGTTATGTTACCATCGGCAACAATGTGTGAAGTTCATCCTCAAGAGAATGAGGATAGTGAAAGTGTCAGTTATTAACTGGATTCAAGTGATTTTGGACTGATGGAATTTTTGTCTGACTTGTTCTGTTTTTTATTCCTCTGGTGTTGAATACAGAAGAGTTCTTGGCAGTTTAGTGCGTTCCTGGGTAGAGGCCTGCTCTCGTTCTATTGGTGTGTTTAACTCTGAAAAGTTCATGTCTTTAATTATTCTGTGGTATCTGAGGGATTGTGGCCAAAAGAGACATGTGACAAAGTATGATTAATCACCTTTCAAAATAAGTGATCTACAATATTTGCTAGGACTTGAAATAGGTGTTGGTGTGTCTGGTTTGGGCTGTGTGATGTTCTGTAGGAGCCGGAGCCAGTGAGTCTTAGCTGCTGGTATTCTTTAGTGCCAGTGCCCCTGCAGGCTTTGACAAGCTATTTCAAACAGCTGAAGAGATGAAAGTGATTTTATGTAGGTGCTGAACTAGCTAAGGGATTTGTTCAAGCTGGAAACCAAACATTTGCATGAACACAGAGCTGAGTGTGGCTGGGTGTGATGAGGAGTAGTAGTAAGGCAGGGGTTGGTAAGGCCCGTGGTTTAACTAACATAAAGCTGCTCAAGGCACTGGATGGGAGGTACTGGACCTTAGGTCAATACTGATATGATAAACAGGTGCTAAAAGTCCAGCTGAGTTATCTTGATGTTTATCTGACTGTGCAGCAGATGAGGGGATTTCACTGTCAGGAAAGAATTCATCCACTTAATGGCATTGTGTCGCTGTCTCTTTGGCCTGCTAAAGCAGCACGCTGCACATCTGTGCACCACTTCTGGTTTGAGAGATACAGGACAGTCCCCCTCGGTGCTGCTAGCTGTGATGTGGAGTTGAACTGCATGGGGATAATTGGCTACTCAGTGAGACAGTTACCCAGCTTGTCCCCTGCATATGGTAGCTGTCCCAGCACGTGCAGGATACGAGGGATATGTATGTATATACACAAGGTTAAAGATGACCAGAGAGTATTTTTTATTTTTATGGTGAGATCTAAATATGTATGCAAACTTGCAGTGGTTATGTTCCGTTATGAAGGCTGTGGTGAGCAGTGAGGTGGACAGCTGACACTCTTACCCTGTAGTTCACAAATGGCTATTGCATGAAAATTAGAGGAATTTGCTTTAATTGGATAGGTTCTCAGGGTGAAATAAATGGTGGTCAGTAGAGTTGAATTAGCTCTGTCCTGTCCTTTTCAGATAAGTCATGTGGAATTACCTAGTGTTTTTGTGGATTTTTGTTTGTTGCTCAGAAAAGAAATGTTAGTATTTAGCTTGGAATTTCCTTGGTTACTGTTTCAAAGCTGTGGGGATAAGGTGGCGTGATGGTTTTTAGCCCTGGTGTAGTGTTTGCTGAAAACAAGGCATGTCAGTGGATGTTCTGCAAGAACAAACTGGTTGTTCCATTTGTGTAAGAACAGGTGAAGTAACCATCTCGTGGTTATGGGGCCATCGTTATTTGTTGATCCAAAGCTGAATTTCTCATGAAGTGAAATCAAGAGCATCCCACACTGGTGCTCAGAAGATGTGGTGTCTGGCATCATGATTGGGAAAGTCAAGTGTCAGTCTCCATAGCTGGAACAGCAGAGGAGAGAGCTGTGACAAAACATGCTCTGGTAATAGCATGAGAATATACAACAGAAAAACAGATCAGCATCAAGCCAAGTATTGGAAACAGTAAACTGTGAATCTTCTTTCACACTTTTAACTCTGGAGTTTGCTAACATTGCATTTCTGCTGTGAAGGCGGGTGGGGGAAGTGTTCCCAGTATGGGATAAATGGTGCACCAGGGTAGGAGGAAGTCTGTGTATTAAGTATGTTTTAGTGGTATTTTTTAATAATACTGCAAACTGTTTTCCTTGATACAATGGTCCTTTTCTACTTCTCCACAGCTTACTTTTCTTTAAGAACACACACCTGCCTTGTATTTGTTTGCACGTATCAAGGGCGTTGACAAAGACATCTTCTACCTAAAGGATGAAAATTCAGAATTCTGGAGCTAATGTAGGAAGATATTCCATGTAAAGCTACCACTGCATTGAATACACAAGTGTCTTGCCAGAGTATCTCATAAGTCAAATTATATAGGATTTCTAGAGTGGATGAACATATCTTTGGAGTCTTGAGCTAAGTATTGAGCTAAGGCATTTTTAAATGCTCTTCAGTTCTCCTTTAGGGTGTGTATTGTAATGAGCGAGTTCTGCATTGGGGCTTGCTTCGTGAATCTCAGTGTTTGTCATCACTGCAGCAAAGGAAGGCTCTTAAACAGGATCTGAAAGTCTGCGATTCCAGACAGTTAACCCAGGAATAAGTTGGCAGACTTAGTGGAGGTGGTGGAGCACAACATGGTACCATGTGCTCACGCTTTCTGTTGGGGTTTAAACTTTGCCAGGGCAAGATCAAATAATAGCTGTAGAAATGAAGATGTTCATCTGTGCCTGGCTAGCAATGCAGTTATCTGAAAGTGTGACATAGTGGGTTCTTGTCAGCCCTGGCATCCAGTTTCTTTCTGTGGCAGGTAACCATATGAAAGGCTTCTGGTGCTGGCTCAGGCTGTGTTACTGCAGTGTGCTCTAGCTGGAATTGTGTGCCTTCTGCTACGGCTGAAATGGAGCTGAGACAACCAGTGTTTGCTTTAATCCTCACTGTTTCACTACATGGGAATGAATTTGTCTTTAACTGTTCTTCTGCTCAGTTTAATTAAGGTAGAGAGATAAATGTTCTGCTATTCATATAAGATATGAAGAAGCAGTGTCATAAATATCCCTTGTTAGAAAAATAATCAGAATCTGTGGGTTTTAGAGTTCTCTGTTTCCAGAGTCATGGGAAAGAATCTCATCTTTCATTAACAGAATAAATGTTTAGCTTTACATTGGATGGAAAAAAAACTGAGATGTCAAGTCAGCTTATGAGATAATCCTAATTTTTTTTCTAGTATTCATATTTCCTCCCACTTATGACTATTTTAGGGCCCTCAGTTACTGGAATCTTTTCCAGTGTTCTTCATTTTTGACATCACTTGAGTTGTAGGGGGATAGAAGCTGAATCTCAGGCCATGGAGCTACAGAAATGTAGGTCAGTATTGGCTGTGCTACTTACATCCTTCTTTCCCATGCCAGCTGCTGTGCTTACTTCATGCTTTGCTGAACCATTTCGCCTGGTGTCTACTAAAAACACACATCAGTGCAAAACCATTGTTTCTTTAGCATGCTCATACACAGACATTGTCTTGTGAGCAGAGCTGTGCAGGTCTGAAGATGCTGTGATTGAAATAGCTGGTAGTTAAATAGGTTTAGGCTAATCTCACCTGTGGCAATGGAGGACTGTTGTTTCTTCCTTCT